CCTCCTGGTGCCCCCTGGCCGCTCTGCCGTCTCCCAGGAAGTTTCGCAGTGACCTGTGACACAGCCAGGAACGTGGCTCGGACACGGCGGGGACACGGGACGATGCGCTGTCTGCTCCCGTCCCCCCCGCTGACCCCAGCCTCGACACGCTCACGTCCAGCCACACACACAGACACTCACATCAGCAGTGAGTCAGAAACAAAGAAGAAAAACCCTCGTGGGCTGCGATTCGCCCTTTATTGTGAACTCCAGACGTCATACGCGCACGGCTATAGATGGAGCTCGGGAGCCCAGGCCAGCCCAGTGCAAGCCCACGAGAGCTCAGTGATGGTGGTGGTGGTGCCGGTTGGTGGGGGGGGATGCTGTGTCTGTGTGGCTAAGGATGTATTACAGAGGCGGGCTGCTCTTAATGTAACTAGAGAGCTTCTGTGATCTACAAAGGGTGAAGACAGAGAGGGAGTACGAGGAGGCAGCCTGTGTATTTCCCAGCCACGCTCTCCCCAAGAGGAGGCCGCCGGGAGCCCCTCTCCGATCCCCCCCCCGTCTCCCTCCAGCGCAGCACACCAAGGAATGATGAAAAAAAATAATTCTGCAAAAAGGGTGAGTCGAATCGGTTCTTCTTTGGGGCACGGTGGGGTGGGGGAGGCTCCCGGATGTTTTAGGGAGGGGGGCTTGGCTCTTGATTTCCAGTTGTTCGCTTTGCCTCTGCTCCCCCCGCCCTTGCCTTGCAAAAAAAACCCCAAACCCCAACCAGATCAAAACAAACCCCAACCCAGCACCCGTCTCTCCGTCTCTCCTGCTGCCCAGCACCTCTCCTTCCTCTTGCATTCGCCAGGAGATACTATTCGCCGTTCAGCGCGGAGCGATGTAGGCAGGCAGTTTTCATTTTTGATCACAAGGAAACGATAAAATACGGAGACACCATCTATCTGTCGCTCTCTGTCTGCTCTGTGCCGTATGTGTGTGTCTGCTCTGCCCAGAGATCTTATCGCTGTCTATGAAGAAATCTTAAATATAAACCCATACAGAGATTTCGCCTCTAGGATTAATTGTTCATAAAAGGCTCAAAAATGCAATTGTCACTGCAGTAAAAAATCAGCTAGTTCAAATTCTCCCCAACACCCTCCTGTTCCTCTTTCCACGGGCAAATGCCCGTTGGATGAGGCGAATATAACACAACATAACAGCCTTTCTTATATAATGCACAGAGTGAAACCCTGCCTGCGATTTTTGCATCGTCCCCTCGGTATTATTGTTGTTGCTTCGTGTCTGCAGCAGAAAAATCTATGTAGAGCGAATCAAGCAAAGTACCTCGGTCCCAGCTTCGGTGGAGAGAGGGGCCAGGAGGAGGGGGAGGCGAAAGTTGGGCAAAGAGGGAGAGGGGGAGAAGAGGAGTGTAAAACCAAGAATAATACCATTTTCCCCCATTTTCTTCCCTCTCTCTTTGTGTTAGGGGCAACAGGATGGAAACCAGCAATCTGTGCAGCCAGAGAAGGTCGGCTGGGTGCGGAAATTTTGCGGGAAAGGCATTTTTAGGGAAATCTGGAAAAACCGTTATGTGGTTTTGAAGGGAGATCAGCTTTACATCTCGGAGAAGGAGGTAGGATCGGTTTCATTTTCCTTTCCCATCCCCCCTTTCCTCCCCTTTGCATATGAAAAGCAGGCGCGGAGCAGCCCTGGCCTTTCCCCAGCGCCCCTGCCCAGCCATCGCCCCTCCATCGCCACCCTGGGTCCAGGAGGTTTCTCGGGGGCTTCTCTTCTCCCCAAGCCGGCACCGGAGAAACCTGGCCTGGGTTGGCGTGTCAGCGCCAACAGCGACTCTCCCAGACAGCTCTGGCTGGGAGACATTTTCCCAGCACTGGACACGTGAAAGGATTCACTTAGCGAGAGTTAAAACCCTCATCCTTCTTTCCGCCGCGGTGAAACGGCAATGCCAGCTTCCTTCTGTGCCTGTCCTCTGTCATTAAGTTCGACAGTGGTCTTGTTCCCAGCTGCTGCACTGCTCTATTTGGAAATAACTGTGGTCTCCCAACTGGAATCGAGCCACTTACGGGTCCCTTATCTCTTGTATTTTTTTCCCCCTGAACCACACCACAAGGGGACGACAGGGAAATTTAACCACAGATTCAACACCTTGTTGAAAAATGTGCCCCCTCTCCTCCCCCTTGTCTCCGCTCAACATCGGCTGGGGCTTGGGGTTTAATGTCGTGTTTACATGAGGCTTAATTGGATGTGACTATCGGGCTGAGCGTTGCAGGCTCTGGCAGGCTGGGATCCGGCTGTCCTTGCACAGCCTCCCCCCTTAGTTTTTGTCTTGATAAATTCACCAGGAAGAAATCCCCAGGCAACAGCACTCCTCCCCCTGATTACCCTTTAAAAACTCAGGGCTAAGCACTGGGGAGCGTTGTGCCCACGAGAAGCGGCACGGGGGCTGTGCGGAGTCCGGCTGGTGTTAGGACAGGGTCGATCTCCAGATCTGGGCCCGGGTCTCGGTGGGTTTCCTCCCACAAGTGGAGGTTACTCCCTGACGGGCGTCGCAGGGCGCACTGTTGCTCAGATGCGTGCCTACCTGGCCCAGCTTTATCACTTTGGGATCTGGAGAGATAATAGGGTCCAGAGCGCCAAGCATAATTTGATTTAGAGGCTAATTGAATCAGGGGGCATGGCGGAGTGCAGATGGCTCAGGGGTTATTAGAACACAGAAATAGCCTAAAAGCGGACTGAAAGCCCAGGTCGCGGTTAGCTGTGTGTCGGCATTTCACGGCTCGCTCCCATTATCTCTTGGCTGCTCCATAACCAGAGAGAGACACAGGCATGGGGAATAAATGTTGTCTGCAGGCTGGGGGTTCGGTGCCTTAGAAATGCTCAGGTAAAGAGACATAATAAGAGAAAGATTGGAGACTACAGACAACACTAGTGGTAACGAAACACTAAACTATGATGAATGTATAGACAGATTCATGGATGGGGAAAGTTAGATGGAAAGATGGATGCGAGAGGTACGCAGCGAGCGGTACAAATCTCCTTTGATTTGTGGTCCTTCCAAATTTTCCAGCAGTAACGCAGACTGTACGGTGTGTATTTCTCAATGGCAGGCCCGCTTGTCTTGCCTGACTCTTACAAGCAGCTCACATACCTCTGGGGCCACAGAGCAGAGTTTAGAAACTGCTAGACAGAGAGATTACATGGCTGGAAGGATTTTACCTGCTGCCTTGTGTCCTACCAGTCTGGGTCAATGGCTCTTCTGTACTGGGGCCCCGATTCAAGGCAGTACTGAAGCACGCGCCTGAGCAGAAACATACACTTAAGCCCAGTTAACGGGGATAGAACTGGAGCTTGTACTTTTTGAGCCAGGACCTGGAAGAGAAGTAATCATGACTAAGTCCAAATGATAGAGGAGCTGCTTGCTTGGATCAGACTGCATCGGCTGTGCCGACACAGTTGGAACTGCTGGGAAGGGATGGGGAAGAGGCTGGACTAGGCGGCTCTCTGATGGTAAATCCATTGCAGGCTGGGCAGATGCTTAACAGCGTTAGCAGGATGCTTTGTGGTCCTTCAAGCAGGTGTGAAGGTGCAGCGATGGACTGAATAATACTGGAGTTCACAGCTGAGTTAGCACAGAGGTTGTGTACGTGGTTTGGGGGGACTCAGAGGCAGACACGGGAACTTCTCAGGCTCCCTCTCGCCACCGTTCAGTGGGGGAAGGAGCCACATGGGGGGGCCAGAGGGAGAAACTTGGCCCCGCTGAAGCGAAGGCAGAACAAGGCGGCTGGGACGTCACGGCACTGTCCCTGCAGGCGGGACGGGAGGCCTGACTGCCACCCGGGCTGCACCGGCCGCCTGAGCCCACGGGTGCGTTCTGCCTGAGCTTAGGACCTCCTCAGAGTACCCTCGCTAGGGAGAGGGAAGGGACACTTCCAGGGAGCGATTCGGCGCACATAAGCCCTGAGCAGCCTCTGGAAGCACCCATTCCCGACAGACACTGGTGCCTGTGCTCCTAACGGGGCAGTGCGCGCAGGGGAGGCCAGCCGAGCGGCTGGGCTCCGTGCTGGCAAACTCCTCCAGGGCTGCCCCGTTTGGAGGATCCTCCCAGGCCCTCCCTCTGCAGCCCAGACCCGCACAGCGGCTCTCCGGGACAGCAAAGCTGTGCTGTGGGGCACAGTACACTCCTTTAAGCAGTGTGCAAACCCTCCCTTTGATGGGAAATACTCTGGATCTTGCCTGGGAAAACAAGAGTGTTTTCCAAAATCCTGGCCGCCCTGAAGTCACCAGCTGGACCGCCACCGGCTGCAGCACCACCGGGACGTCCCGGACACCCAGCGCTGCCGGGGGGGTGGTTGTGTCTCTCCCTGGTACCCCAACTGCCGGAACCCTGGAGAATAAACCGACAGCAAAGGCTCTACTTGGCTAAGGAGCAGGAAAGCCTGCGCAAGAGAGAATGTATTCATACAGGAATCAACACCAGTGAAGAGGTGCAGGAAAAAGATGTCTGTCTGTCCATCCCTCCCTCCCTCCCAAATACATCCAGGTAGCTACCGCTCAAATATCTCTGTGCTCTGAGCCTAGAAAAGGGCCGAGGCTGGCTGAGAGGCCAGGCGGGTGCTAGTTCTGAACAAGGAGCACTTGTGTTTGTTTCAGGGAGCGTGCGTCTATTTCTTTACGGGGAAAGAAACTAATGCATGTGCAACCGAAGCAGCACTGTGGCTCTACGTGCACGAATATGTGTGTGAAAGACCATAAATAACACGCGGCAGTGCCTGCCTATGTCTTTATATGGAAGAATCTGTGGTTGTGTAGAAATGTGGTTACAGAGGTAACATCTGGCTGCCTGCATGTGCGCTGAAGTGACTCTGTGTGCCTGCGGGACTGAAGAATACGCCTGCGTCGCTGGGTCCGCCATCTCCGGGAATCTCGATAGCCGAGGTGGCTCTGGCCACCTGGCCCGCGGTACGCTGCACTGCCTGCTCGGGTGAGCACGTGTGACGGAGGGCACGCGTCTGGTGTGGCCGCCTGTCGCTTGTGCGTCTCCAAGACTTTCTGTTCAAAGACAGACGGGGCTTTTAACACCCAGTGCGGGTTTTTGGTACTGACTGGACCTTTATTCCTTAGCAAAGCCAGGCCTTCGCGTATCAACAAGAACTGAGATCTGCCCTGGGGAGGCGCGTAGCCGCACTCCCTCCTGTCCACAGGTCTTAACGCGCGTTTCAGAGCTCTGCTCCCGGAGCATGAGGCTCCCTCTGCGCACTCGCTTTCCTGGCAGCAGGCGCCCGCAGCTCCCGCAAAGCTTGATAAATTGGGATTTGTCAAGCAGAACAGGACGGAGCCTCTTTTGTTTTTTCACACACCAGATTATGCCCAGTGGAGAAAATGGAGCCACTGCTGGGTTGTGCTGATGAGCTGTGTGAGAGGCTCTTCCCTGCTCCGGAGAAAGGCCTCCCCGCTTGTGAATCCCCCCCCGCGGAAAGGCCCCCCCGTGTTGTGACCCCCCGCCCGCTGCCGGTGGGGCTGGGGGGCCAGCCACTGGATGCAGCCAGAGAGAGAATTAAACAGTGGAGACCCTGAGGAGACGTGAATAGAAAACTCGGGTGGAAATGGCCACTAGACAGGTTGAATCTCAGCCCAATTTCTGCAGTGATGGGAGAGGAGACTCAGTTGTCTGTTTCAGGAAAAGATCAAAGTCCTCCTCTGCTATGAATTATTTTTGCTCCATCAAAGCCATCGGAGCAATGTGGATTTGGTGGATGGAGCTTACGAGTTAACTCTCATATTAACCTTGGTGTTTCTTGTCAGCTCCTCTTAAGCTCAGCGGCTGCTCTGGAACAGAAGGCGGGTTGTTTAGCGGGTGAAGCCGGACTCCCGGCCTCTCCCTGTCAGCTCAGAGCACCGCAGAAGAAGGGGTTAAACACCAGGACTCCTGGATGCTATCCTCGGTTCTGCCACGCACTCACTAAATGAATTCAAACCAGACATTTATTTACTTTCCCCTGAATTTCTCCATCTGGAAAGCAGAGCTAATAATACCCATCTCCCTAAGGCACAAGGTGCCTAGGAAGGGGGAATTGCGTGTCACAGACTGTGGGATCCCTTGGGAAAGATGTCAGCTCAGGGCAGGCAATGATGTTGCACGAAGACAAGTGCTCAGAACTGAGCGCTGCTCTGATATCTGGAAGGGCTGAGTGGATCGGTTTCCAAAAGGCTAACTCCCACAGGCAGAGTCAGACTACCAAAATCCCATCGATATCCACATTGTTTGCACATTGAGTCCTGCTGGGAATCTGCGTGCTTTTTCAGTTGCCTACCTCGGACCTGGGCTTGCAGGTTAGAGACAAGCCCTGGTTTAGTTATTTTGGTTAGGAGAAGATGTGAACGCCTGATGGAAGCCTGGGCTTTCTCCCTGGCAGAAACCCAGTCTGTAAGGAGAGGAAATATATTTTATCAGACCAGCTGATATATCTGGAAAATGCAAACAGGGCTTTTGAGTCATGTTCTTCTATTAGGGCATCAACCTCTGGAAGCTGTGAAACCTGCTTTAAGACCTAGCACCTTTAGCTCTTCCAGCTGTGCACCAAGATGGTAGCCGAGGCTTACAGACCTCCTTCA